GCCAGGAGCCCCTAGTAGCATCCTTGCTCCTAGTAGCGATGCCAGGAGCCCGTAGTAGCTTTTTGTTCCTAGTAGCGTCCTCCAGTGCTGGGGCACAAAGTATGAACCAGATCTTGAACGTGCGAGAGGGGTGCGGGGTTTGATCCACCAGTGGCTTGGCAGATCAGCTACTGCAGGGCCAACATGCACAGGCTTCAAAGCTGAGAGAAGGAACAAAGAAACATACCCCAAACAGCAGAAAAGGGTAGAGGTGGTGCTTCCAAGCCCATATTTCCAGACTCGTCCCCCCTACTCAGATGTGGCTCAGGCTTGAACCAAGACCTTGATCCCCTTCAACACGTGTCACCCTTGTCTCTCTACTTCATCACCTCGAACCAGATCTCTGGAAAACTATGCTGCTCCCAATCTATCCACTTCTGCTCCGGATCTGCTCCGCTTCTCCCGATCTGCTTGGCCCGGACCAGGAGCACGTAGAGCACCACGCCCAAGGACCAAAGGTCGGCACCTCAAAGGGCTCAGCCGGACGACCGGCCGCGGCGCTCAACGAACCAACGACCGACCGGGGTTTCGCGCCGTGACGGTTTCGCCGTTCGACACAGACCTGGGGTGCGCCGACACAGATCCGCCCCCAGCCGTGCGTAGATCTCGGGCGCAGTGTAAGACAAGGTGCCTGGCAGGGACACAGGATTCAGCAGGAATGGCATGACATGATGACATGACGAATGAATACTATAATTAGGTCCGCTTTTTCGATGTCGCCTGCATGGTCAGTAAATCTGAAAGACTCTTCATGCAGTTGATCTGGCCGGACATGCTCGTGCTATTCCCAGGTTGCCCAGTCATGAAGAAAACGACTACAAAGCTGCGGTCACACCATGTCACACCGAACTTTTGGGGTGCTGCTAACCAAATTGAATGTCCAGGCAACCGTCTTCATCTCTTCACGTGTCGGGGACCGGCGCATCTAATCTATTCTCATCCGAGTTCCTACACATAAACACACACACACAAACCATGATAAGTCATGATATTGTGCATAAACTATACATGATCATGTATTCAAAACTGTTTTTGTTATAAATATATATATATATATTAATATATTTGTCATGTGATATTTTGCCAATTGGTCCAACACATCTTCTGTTAGGCTTTCAAGTTCTCAAGCAGCAACTGAGCGCTCATTTGATTGGGTCAACAACTATGGGAAACCTTCAGCTGCAGAAACTTCTCATACTGGTGGATAAAACTCACTTAACAAGAATTAAACATGTTATGCGCGTTATTTGTAATGATTGTATAATACTATATTGTAATTATGTCACATTCTTTCTCTAAACTCGTTCTGTATGACTGCTAAGCAGGCTGTCACCAACAGCTCTAGACTGCACAGTTCGTAGCTCCTTCGGCACTCAATCTGTTCGTAGTCCAACACTGACTCATGTCACCAAAGCACTGTATAAATACTCGCCGATACTTCGCATGCCTGTCACAGTGATGCTGCATCTCTAGTTTTCAATCGAAATCCGTCGCATATGTTATTTTGTTAAATATGTTTTTCTTAGAGGTAGCTTCTCTGCACTTCCTTCACCTGTTTCTAGGGCACCGTGCCAATACGCCCCATGGCCCGAGGCCTGAGCTGCGACCGTACGACGGTACGCCGGCCGTCCCGCGCCCGCCTGGGTCTGTCCGACTCGGTCCGGTACACCGTCCGACCCGGCGAACATGGTGGAAAGCCGTCCGACCATATCCACCGTCCGATCGACCATATCTGAACGGGTTTCTTATCTTAAACTCCTGGCTGCAATTCCTGGAAGGAAGGAACAGCTGCCTGCCACTCTGCCTTCTTAGGTTTCCAACTCTTGCCGTTGGCTTGCTAAGCTCTTAGCAACCGCAAACCTCCAATCCTCCAACACCTGCTTGCTGCCCACAAGAATTTCGTTGTTGGGCTTGCAAGGTTCTGCTGTCACTTTCTTTCCTTTTCCTGTTCATTGTTCATCTCTGCTTTGTACTCTCCAAAAGCCACCAGCTCTGAAGAAGGCCAGCATCGCCTTCCCCTTCAATCGCCTCAGCCTGGAGGCACTCTGCTCATCATTGGAGTGCTGTCACCACATTCGCCATCATCCAACACCTCTTTGATCGCCTTCTGATTCTTCCCGGCTTCCTTTTCTGCGCCCAATATATAATCCTTTCAAAGGGTCCTCCGATGGACTCCGATTGACCAGCAGCTTCTTTCGTTCCTGATAGCCTCCTTTCTGCAAAGATTCTTGCAAGTGTGCGAAGCCATTGTGCCAACTCAGCTCCGTTCACTCATCCATAGACACTTGCGTTTTGGTTGGTGCACTGCACAACCTGGCGGGCAACCTGGCGGAGAACCTGGCGGATCCTGGCAGGCAGCCTTGCGGGCAACCTGGCTAGTGGTCACTGGATCAATCTTCCTCGCCTGTGGCCCCTGGTCTTGACGCTTTCCTCTACTCCTGCAAGAATCCCTGGATGATTGGTGATGCACTACTTAAAACGATTGTCCAGGCCAATGAGCGTTGGTCAAGGCTTTACTCGAGGATATTCGAGGTGGGTATGAGCCAAGATTGGATACATTATACATGCTTGGCTCCTACGCACCTCGAACTTGTCACTCCTGTCACAGTGACCAAACTTGGAGCACACGAGACATTTAAGTTGCCAAGCCAGGCAAAGGGTGAGACTCAAAAATCTCTCAGAGTAGTTTCTCTTCAGTCTCTTCATTTGGGATACTCAATCTTACTCTTCAACTAGCGGCATAGCGCTGCAAGTAGCCAGGATGGCTCTTCTTTTTACCCACGGCGACTTGCCGATCGCTAAAGGAAGCGCATGTCGAAGCTTCCGACCAGGACATGCACAGCTTCCTCAAGATCGTCTGCATTCCCCGCGTCTGCGTCGAGTTGGTGGCAATGGGTGGCATGTTGTAGTGATATAAGATGTGATGAGATGCGGAAGTCGCTTGAGAAAATCACTGGGATTTCCAAGTGGCCACCAAAAGGCATGCTGGGTCTGTTTTCGATCCCCGGTGCGACCTGGGCTTCCCTGACATTTGCGGGCTCAGCTGCACTGCGGTGCCGAAGTCGCACAGCTTAATGATGCTGCCTCTCTTCCGGATTGGCTGGCGCTTTTCGACGCGGGAGATGGTCCACGGACCCCAGCTGGGTAGACTATGGGAGATGGTAGGTGACAGAGTGATAGGTGTATAGACTATGGTAGACTCCCCATTCTGCAAGTCGTGAATGTGCCAAGGCGAAGCTGCATGAAGCTGAGACGTCGCCTTCAGGAGTGCCCACATCACCCATGAGAAGGAAGTTCTCGGTCCTAGGTGCGTCAAACGTGTCAAGCAATTTCTTTTGGAATCCTCTTTCAGTGACAAAGCACTTAAACACAAAAAATGCACATTGGGTCATGCTGGGTCCACTCATTTTGGCTTGTTGCTTGTGGACCTTTGCAATGCACGCTTCTCAACACCTGGTACCTCAATTGTGTCACCGTACAAGACTGATTTCTCACGCTTTACTTCATCTCGCCGATGTTATGTTCACAGTGGAACCGACGCCAGGCCGTCTTCACATTTGGTGAAAACCACCCTCCGGTGGAACCGACACTCTGAAGCTCCGCGCTTGATATCGCGATGCACGATCCTGACCTTGTGCAGGAAACTCACCTGGGCATCGCCCGTGTCTGTTTTTGGGCAAAGAGGGTGAAGGCAAGAATGTTCAGAATGCTCTTCCGATTTCTCTGCAAGTCGAGTACGCCATGGAAAGAGTGAATCCAACACATCCCTTCCACTTGTTGGACCAAACCCCCAAATCGGTGTACCACCCTGGCAGAAAGTTGCCTCTCTCACACATTATCATCCCATGTTAAGAAGCTTAGCCTTTAAAGAACAATCCAAAGCAGGAAAGGCATACACCACGACTCACTGACATGGAAGTGGAACACCCTCCTGTTTCTAGAGGAAAATATGAGTACTTAGTCTTTCCAGAGACCATTTTTAACTTCCACCGTTTAGTGAGTGAGCATCTGTTTTGGGTGCAATCCCGTGAGCTGGACAGCGTGCCGATTCACCAAAACATGCCGCCGATCCGGTGTCCCATTCCCCGGCCGCGTGGATCATCTGCCGGAAGTAGTGCTTTGCCTGTGGCCTTTGCGGGAAAACGTCGCGTGCGGTGGGGTTGGCCAGGTGAGTGTCACTGATTGGAACGGGAGCGGCAAAGACTCGAAGACGGAACCGACTTTCCCAAAGCAACTTGACCCTCGAATTCCCCCAACGGCTCGAAGAAACCATCCGTGAGCGACCAGGCGGGTGAATAATACAGGAAGTGAATCTATTCAGAGTCAAGGACAACCCGGGGAAACCGCAAATACCAAGAGTCCGTGTTCGCTCCGGAAGTATCATGAATCATGTTGTGGCAGAGTCTTGGCACCGCCATGAGCATTCATTCTGTGCATGTTCGAACACCCGCGGGCCCACCCTAGGCCACCCAGCTCTTCAAGAGCGCCCCCTTCAGTTCGACGATTCTGTGCCTTTCAATGGCGCAGACTTCGAACGTCGTTGGACTTCGAACGTCGTTGGATTCGATTCCGATGTGACGATCCTTGGGTTGCCATGTTCTGCCCTTTTTGGGCCACGCCACAAGCTACCTGGTCTAGTGACCTGGTCCAGTCAAAGACTGGGAATCGGAATAACACACCATTAAACAAACCAGGTGCAAAATGGTGCAGACACATGCAGACACACTCCCAAGAATAATCATGGAAGGGAAAAAGCCACCTGCCTGGTAAGGCCTGGTATTCCGAAAATGATCATCCAAGGGGCTCTGACATCCACGTAACCATGATTCTTCCGATGTGACGGGTGTATCTCTCATCATCTCTCCTCATCTCAGGCCCAAACCAAGGCAGCCACGTACTCATAGAGCTCTCCGCCTTTACACAGCTCCAACCTGTGGGACGAGCTCCCACCACTTCGGCCCAACAGGAGCAAGGACGCTACCAGGGGCTCCTGGCCTTACTACTAGGAACAAGAAGCTACTAGGGGCTCCTGGCATCGCTACTAGGAGCAAGAACGCTACTAGGAACAAAGGCCCAACAGATTGGTTTTGACTTGCCACGATGCCACGAGGGTTATTTTCAAAGCCAATCCACATGGAGCTCGTGAGCTCGTGACCCGCCATGTTCGCCCGACCATTTGTATCCATTTGTAGCGAACAACCAAGTATCGTTGGTAGGTCAAGCAAGGTCTCCTGGTTTTCACCCACAGCCACATAAGATTCCATCTCTGTAAGTACTCTTCCTTCTTAGTCTGAAAATGTCTTAGACATCTTCTTGTCAACTCTGCAAGCTGCAAGCTTTTTCACTGTGGTCACACTTGAACCCTCCAGTAGATCTGGGATGATCTGGGTTTCCGACACCACCCACAGGGACTGGCGCTCTTCGAAGCACTCATACATCTTCACGATGTGTGGATGCTCTAGCCTGTCAAAGCAGGAACGGCATTGGCAGGCGCACACACACACACAAGTGTGTGGGTCCCATCACGGACCAGCTCATGCTTGATTGGGTTCACTTCCACATCAAAACAAGCACTAAAGCCCAAACTGCCCAGAATGTTCTCAAAGTTCAATCAACCCCAAACCATAGGGGTGTGAACTCACATGTACCAGTACCCACGAGGGACCTCTTTATCCTCATTCCATAGAGGAAATTCACACCCCCAGGGCCCCGAGGAACAAGAAGCTACTACTAGTAGGGGCTCCTGGCATCGCTACGAACGGAGCAAGGACGCTACTAGGGGCTCCTGGCCTTACTACTAGTAACAAGGACGCTACTAGGAGCTTTTTCACGGTAGGATGGATGGCCGCTCCTGGCCAGGATGGCGCGCTCCTTCTCGAAGCTCTCCCGCATGGCCGTCTGGCCCATGCCTGGACGCGCGGGCCCCGAAGAAAACCCCAGCGCTACCAGGAGCCGCTACCAGCTCCATTCTGATTTCTTGGAAGCTCAACTAGTAGACATATCTGCTAAAGTATATCTTGGATTGTCTTGCCATTTGAAGAGCATGAAGAGCTCCCGGTTCATCCCGCACACCACGAGGCCGGTGTCCCCGGCCTGACGCGTCTCGTCCACCTGCCTGCCGATTTCAGATCACGCCAAATGAATCAAAACGATCTCTTTTGTTGATTCCAAATATCAACACCTCCCAGTTCGACTCCCCTGGAAGAAGGAAAATAGACCAACACCATCCAAAACCAATTGGTTGGGGTCTCCCTAGTGAAATACACAATCAAATGGATGGCTTGCAGGTCAGGGTCATTCCCAAACGGCATCCCAACCCGCGCCCGGGCCCCACTTTTCGAGTGATTCTTTCTTGAGCTCCTGGTGGCTCATTTCCAAAAACGAGCCCCAAACCCAAACCACACCAAAAGGACTCCCCAGGCCTGAGCAACTTCTCTCAATGTCGAGAGCTGTGTTGTGTCCCAACTCACACGGACCATTTGGAATTACGGAATTGATCTGCATTGTTACCTGTTACCCTCCTCTAAACTTCTAAACCAACATATAGCAAGGAATCACCTTCTAAACGCTTTTGTTGGGTGCCACGTTAGTTTGGAGTGTAACCAGTCCCTGCCCCCATGCCCTCCGTCGGTTCCATGCACCGCGGGTGCACCTCAAGGAGCTTAAAGCATTTCACGGCCACGCGCCGGGGGCGCGAGGGCATGGAACTGCTGCCTGGTCAAACATCCTTCTGAAGTGAAGTGCTCAATAGTGCTCGGGTGAATGGATTCACCTGGGTTGAAACATCCGAAGTGAACGCACAACGAGTAACAACGATGCTTGATCTGCAAAACTGAACGTGACACCCCACCTTCGGGGGGACAATTCCTGCTTTGAAACCGCTGGGTAGAAGCACTAACCGCAAGAGGGATGAAGGACTTGCTGGTCTTCGTCGTCAAACCCCAACGTCCCATCTCCGGACCTCGGTCCAGTCGGTGGACGACCAGCCCTTCGGGTTCAAGACGACCAACGGAAGGCCTGTGATGCAGGTCTCAGCTTCGAAGACGTGACCATAGGTCCCTTCTCCCACCTGCCGGCGTCGGCCCAATGTGGACGTCACTGAGAGGGAGGGGAGGGAGAGAGAACGGGTGGGGCTCCAGCCTTTGCAGTGGTGAAACCAAAGCCCAGGTCCCTCCATCTGACTTTGCAATACTGCAATACTTAACCAACTCATGTCATGTCATGGATTTGGAATGATTTAGATGGTTTGACATGAGAGGATTTCCATCGATTTGCAGCTGTTTTGAATAAGAATCGCATAGATACTTGAAGGGAGGCGCAGAGTGTTTTCAAAGTACACTCATGTGTCAGCTTGATTTTCCAGAAAATCGCCTTGAGATGCCTTGAGGCTGTTTGGTGAATCTCCGCTGCATGAGCAGCTTGGTTCCCCACTCACACTGTCCTTCAAACGCTTTGTATAGTACTGGAAACGTACTAGTTGAAATTCTGGTCGCAAATAGCTGACCCGTAAAGCTATAGGATGGTTTCTGTTTCTGTGTCATGTTGCAAACCCATCTCTATGTGAACTGTTTTCGATGCAATGCTTTTGCAATCCTTCCATTTTATCCGCCTGCCGGACGATGCGATGGTGGCTACCAAAGCTCGTCTTCAGGTGAGAAGCAAAGACCTCGGTTTCTCCGCCAACAAAGCTGCCCCAAAAAGACAAAGATTGGTCATCTTAGGGGTTTGTTCTGCTCAAACTATATACAGCACCTAATTTGCTAAACAACTGCATTTACACGATGAGGATCGCTGGTTCATGACATGTAAATGGTGTAGATGGACGGTCCTGGTGTAGTGGAACAACAATCCATTCATGGTCGCAGCAAACTGATTACAAGGCTCATCAGGCTCATCAAGCCGAACTTCTTCAGGCTGGAGGTCTTGGACTCACAATCAGCAACAAACAGCAACATGCGGAGATTCACTCCTGCAACAGACTCATGCAGCGGGTCTAGCAGCCCATCAGGTCTAGCAGCTTGAAGCTGGGGTTGCGGACGCGGACGAGGAACACACACCAGAGTATATGCTTTAGAATAGCTTCTTGCGGTACCAGTACTTCAAGTGACCTGAACATCTCCATATGAGGGGAATCTGATCAGCACTGATCAGCAGTCAACCTTCACTGAAAAAAAACGACATAGTTTGAGAAGTTGAGGTGATCAACTCCACTTTGACCATTTGACCCGGACGGTCACCGGAGCTTCATCGACCCAAGGCGCCCGGACCCGGCGCCGCGCCAGCGCCCAAGCGCTGCCGGAGGGACGCGATCGCCTCGGACGCCGGAGGCGAAGACGTCCGGACGCGATGTGAAGACATTTGGCAATGCTCCTTGGGAGTCCAGGGGAGAAGGTAGTCTCCTCCTCACGAGTCAGCATGCGAAAAACGGAATCCTGCTAGTCAGACCTGGCCATTGTTCTTCTAACCTGTTTAGCACACGTTCAGATTGAAGTGATTCATTTCTGCGCTTTCTTCTCTGGGGGCATGTCATTTTGATGCGGTCACCGCCCTCCTCCTAAATTTCATTTTGGAGCCCCGCCTGTCTGTCATGAAGAATCTAAAACATCGGTATGTGCCAGTCGTTGATCGGAATGATTGGACCTGCCGGTTCCACGGCGGTGCCATGGCATAGCTCCACCGCGGTGATTGCGAAAGAAAGCGTCCGCAGTGCGGAACGGGCGGCGCATGCGGCACAAGCGAATTCCGACGGAGTTTGATCAGGAAGGTCTCCAGTCAGTTGAGCATACTCTACCCCATTCAAACGCATGCCGCTGCGGGCCACACACGGTGGCATTCTTCAAGAAGTAGCTATGGGCCATCATGAATCTGTCCTGCCTTGGGGCCTTAACTGCCATTCGTTGCGCTTTGAGAATACATAGTTACTTTGTCTTTGGCTGACCGAGTGATAGCAGATTATAGAAATGTCTGATGCGCTTGTGCACAAGAGTAAGTGGAATTGGGATGAATTGAATTGGGTGTCCTTTTGCACTACTTGGGCACTAGGCTGCATGCAAAGTCAAGGACTCAGCTGCTTCGCAGGAAAGCTTGCATCGCTTGTTCCAAGCAAGTGCACCAGCCAGATCATAGAGCACTGCACTTCGGCAGCATTTGCAGGAGCGTTTCTGCGCACAAGGGTGTAAAAGGCACCACAAGCTCTGAGTTCAGAGTCTGAATCTACTGAGGAGTGGGCACGAACCCTGAAGACCAAGGTCCCATTGGGCAACGCACCAATGTCACACAGCCAAGGACCCAAACGCTTGCAACCAGTGGCCTACTCGACATGCCGAGACCTCCCAAGGCATGTGCGACTATTGCGTGAGGTGTTTTGGCATGTCTACAACGAAACAATGTGAGGTCAGCTACAAGTAGCAAGATGTGCAAGCAAAATCAAGCAAACCCAAATCAACATGTGTCGTGTTGACCTCAACCAACCTGGACTGAGCTTCCTGCAGCCCCTTCTCAGGGTCCAGGTTGTCAGGCTGCCTGTCGAAGGAGCGATTCTACGGATGGCCGGAGCTGGCCATCAAACAAAGGTAGAAAGACCATGAAAGACCCGGTGTTCGAAGCAGGAGCTGGGTGAAAGGGATAGGCAACCCAGCTAGTGTTCAAAATAGAGGCCACAGTGCGTAGAGGTAGAGGACTGCGCATGGTTGCTTGCAAAGACATGCTATAGATTGCTACAGGCTATAGTCTTCTGTGATTTTCTGACTCACTTTTCTGAGATCGCTTGTTAAAGACACCGTGAGTCTTCTAATTACTCATATTATAAAGTTTACCTTTTCGGTATGTCTTCAGTACATTTAAACAAGTGTAAATCTGCACACCTTTTTTTCAGGAATCCTTTGGCAGCCTTTTTCCCTGTCAGATCAGCAGCTTCTTCCGCTTCCCACCCCGACAGTCCCGACCTCAACGAGCTCACGAGGTCTGGCGGCCACACTTCGTGCTCCAGCGGCGTGAACTGGCGCCCGGAGCAGGCGCGCGCGCGCGCGCCAGTGGAACGCGCGGTGTGTGGGAACCCAGATCCACCGGATTCTGGATCGATACATTTGTTGATCATTATGCGGAATACGGTGTCAAAATCACCAACACCTGCATCTGCTCTCTCCCCTTGATGAGTTCTGATGTCCTTTGTTCTTTCATGTTTGTTTGAGGAGGGAGTGCAGTACCAGCGTCAGCAGCGAAAGAACGAAAGGTCAATTTGGGTTTCATTGGCAATTTGTCTTTTACCTAGTGCTTCCCCAAGAAACGATATTACCAGTGGATCTCTGTCCTGGGCTGACCAACTGCACAGCAGCTTGCGCAGTCAATGTTGCTTGATTGCTTCCTGGTCCATGACAAACGAGATAAGCATAGCAAAAAAGAGAGGGAAAGAATGTCGACCTCATGGACTTTGGTCGGCTTTGCCAACTGCTTCCTCAACGTTCTTGCTGTCTACAGTGTTGGTCCCTCTGCGGCTTCACACATTCTGGTCAACCCGTGCCTTACGAAGTTCATTTCTTTACATCTCCCTACAGTCAGCAGGGGAAGACACCACGATCTCCTCGAGACCTCGATGATCAAACAGGTCGACTGCACAACGACTCCGCCCGCCTCATAGTCGTAGGCCGATTGCCCGTAGCAGCCACAACGGATGAAACTGTGAAGCCTCATGGCGGCTCGATCTGGCCCGTGCCACGCAGAAACACGGTCATCAACCTCGTGCCCCCAAAAGGCATGTCTCAACTCTCAATTAGATACTCAACTGATCTCAACTATCATTTTTTGATAATTTTTGCACCAAAGGAGTGCCCTTCATGTGAATCTGTGACCAATCCCTCATGATCAAGCCTGTTCCCATCCTGGCTGTTCGTGCCATCTTCAAAGAACTGATAGTCCATACTCGACATGCAGGTACTGGTCACATGAAATACATCACAGGGTTCCACAGGTTTCAGTCATGTTTCCTTTACCCATGAGGGGCCAGTAGCTGCTGGGAGTCTACAAATGTTTGACCCAGCATGTAGCAATGGCTTGCAAGATGTCCAGCACACAGGATCCTGGCAAAGCCCATCAGATGCTACATCCTTCGTCGACGTCGCTCTCCGTGCTCTGAGCATGCAGCGAATCTTGATCGCTTGAGACTTGACCCATGGCCTATGAGCAAATCAGGCTGGGACAAAGCGCACAGGACTTCCAAGACATCAAACATGCAACATCTGCAAAACACATGTGATATTACAAGTTTGCTTGATTTTGATTGGGATCCGGGATCTCAATTAACTAATTATGGCCAATGCATACCAATGCAAACAAAATCCAATCATTCCCTCATACGCTCTCTTCGCCGCTCTTCCCGAACCCACCGTGCCTCATCGTGGCCCCTTGACCCAGCGGCCTTTTCCACCGACTGGTAGACCCACACCAACCCTTGAGCCGATCGACGAGGGGAAGAAGCGACGAACCGTGTTTTTTCAGCGCTCGAAGTAGCGTAAACTCATAGGGAGCGCTGAAACATGCTTTCATCCAATGAGTAGTAACAAGAAGCTACTAGGAACAAGTGCATCGCTTCTAGTAACAAGTGCCTTACTACTAGTAACAATGGCGCGGGGCCATGGTCTTGGCCGGAAGAGAACACCTGAAGACTGGAGCGTGAGTGGATGGGCTTTGAGGCTAAAAAGGCATCTGAGTGTTTTTTACTTCTTTTTTCGGGGTCTTTTGATTCCGTGTGTCTCCAACACCAAAACTGAAAAGAGATCCTGATAGAGTTGCAGAACGAGCCACAGATTCCAAGTATGTGTATACTGATAGGATCTGATAAGAACCATTGCGAGGTTTCAACAGGTCTGTCGATGTCTGCGCTCTTTCTCTCTACAAAGCTGCCCAGTGTTTGGGCGTCTTTGGCTGTCTTCGGCGAAACCTACCAGGCATGGCAGGGCTACAAGGAGGTCCTTCAAGGCAATCCTGGCTTCCGAGCAGTGAGCAGCTGCAACATTTAGCAACATCACCTGGAAAGCTAAGCATGTGAAACATGATGTATCAGGGTCAGTCTCTCCAAAACATGTTGAACATGATCTTAGTTTCCCAGTTTCAGGAAAAAGGCTGGGTGGTGTATGGTGGTATATTCTAGTATACAGTATACTGTTCACGAGCATACTCCACACCTTAAACAGCAAAAGATCGAATGAGTCAGTCTATTCTTCGATCGACCACACCGCCACACAGCCCACCACAGCGCTCCGTCGATGCGGCGCTTCGTGGATGCAGCGCTCCTTCGGTTGTTCGGTGCGTCTCAGTGCAGCCTCGGTCGATCGCGACATGTTCGGAGGCTCGGTTTGCTGGGGCGGGCTGGCTCGCAGCCTCATCTCGAGATGAGTTGGTTGGTCCATTTAGAGTAATCATGCTCTAGAGGGGATTCCCTTTTCTATCTATTTTGGGGTCGCTTGCAATCACTTTTCTATCACTGTCATTGCATGCCTGGGTGCTTTGCCGTTTGCCCTGGACCCCCGGGCCGAGCATTCATGTGCTTGAGGGCCCCTCGTCGCTCGCTGTGACTGTTCTTCGATGATGCCATGACGGTGCTCTTCTCCTAGTGTTCGGCGATCTGGACGGCATGTCCTCTGCCTCGGTAGAAACCTTTTGGAGACCTTGAATGAAGCTGTTATGTCATCGAGCTGAACTTGCAAAACAGTTCAATGTGGGGTAGAAACTCTTTCCTCAGAATTCGAGAAGGATGGAACGATCCGGTTGGGTTCCCCAAACAGCAAACAACGAGGGAAACAAACAGCAAACAAAACACACACTTATGGATATGCGTACTGACTTGACAGCGGTGCCACACGCCAACCTAGGTTACCATTTCCTAAGAGTACAGG